TACTGACATTGGCCTTTAAAGCCCTAAATGGCTTAGGCCAGTGATGGCGAACCTTTTAGAGACCGAGTGCCCAAACTTTAACCCAAAACACACTTATGTATTGCCGGGTGCCGGGTGGGTGTGGCCCACCGGGCGGGCGTGGCTACAGTGGTCATGGCAGATGGGTGGGCGTGGCCAGGGTGGGCATGGCCAGCTCGATGTTGCTCCTGGGGAGGGACGCTTGTGGGGGCCGGGCAGGGTTGGGGGAGATCCAGGGGTCTCTGGCAGGTGGGGCGGTGGGCAGGAGGCTGGTTCTGCGGGGTGAGGCGAGGCAGGGTGGGGGTGCCATGTTGCAGGGCAAGGCGAGGCAGGGGCCAGAGCGGCTGCTGCCTGACACCATCGGCCCCCGCACATAAAGGCCAGCAAGCGCATGGGTGCTGGGATGCATCCGGCCACGTGGGACCTCGACAAGTTAGCGAGCGGCTGGTTGAAGAGGACGGTTGCCATCTCCGGGGCATGGCGCGCGTGCCCACAGGGAGGGCTCCGAGTGCCGCCTCTGGCACGTGTGCCATAGGTTCGCCACCACTGGCCTAGGCACTATCTGAAGGAGAGGCCATTTTTAGATTCCTCCCCCCTTTCAGAACCTCATCTAATAACACTCCTGTTAGCCCCCTCCCCCAGGAAACAAAATGCATTTTAATTTTATCTTAATTTAAATGGTAGCAATTTTTATGCTTTATAATTTCTCATTTTGGGAGCAGCCTTGAAGGAGGAGGGTTCACTAGAAATCTAATAACAAAACACCTAAAAAGAACCTCTACCGTAACTCTTCAGTTCTGGGCCGTATAATTACAAAAAAAAAACCATTTTAAAAATACCTGCTACTTGGGATGGATCCACCAACGTATGCTTGGACACTGTAATGAGTTTGCTAAGTAAGTGAACTGTCATTTCCTGCGTCGACACAGAGGTAAACCCCTTCAGGAATAACTGCTGGAGGCCTGGGAAGTTGTTCCATTTTAATTTGCTCTGCATCTGTTCAATCTTTCCCCTGCTTTCGGGTTTATCCAGGGGCAAATGAACGAGGAGTTTATTGAGGAGCCTGAGAGCCAAGAGGTATTCGTATTCATAATCGGATTCCAGCAAAGAGGCTGCAATCCAGAATATGGTGGCCATCAGATTGACAGGATCAGTAGTAGGCTGCACGTCGTGCATGCCTCCCTCTTTCAGGGAGGAAAGGCTTCTAGTCCTTGCCAAGCTGTTGGAGTGATTTATCCTTCCATCCATGATATCCAGCGTGTTGCTCCTCCGTCGGTCGCTCTTCCTTTCGCCTATCAAACTCAGTCGCAAAGAATTGCTTTTCGGGTGGCTGTAACAGCCGACAAAGTTGCCACTGTTAACACGGCTTGTGCCTAGGTTTATCTGACCGGTGCTTTTCCTGTTTGCTGCATATTTGTTCCCCAGTAACGGGTCGTAATAGGAAGCACTAAAACGAAAAGAGAATACGGCACGTAAAAATTACATTCCTCGATCCAAGACTTGATTGAGAAAAAAAATTACTTGGATAACGTCCCTCAGTTTCAAACACAGAGAGAAGTAACATTTACTTCTTTTTTTTTTAATCAAGAATGCTACACATTTATGAATGGATAGCTTAATTTAGACTTGGGATGTTATGTATTTATCCCTGTACTCAGTTCTGGGAAGTCCGGGGGAGGGGGGAAGGGGATGAAGGGGTAGAATTATAAAAAAAAATTGGTGTATTTATAAATGTAATGTAAATGTTTGTTTTTAAGAAGAGGAGATGATCGGCTAGTACCCCTAAACTGCATCCGAGGTGGTGGAAAAGAAGGTGATGGGATGTGTAGGATAGTTGGGAAGGAGGAAAGAGGAGAGGTAGTAGTCAAGAGGGGGAGGAAGGAAGAGGGAAGTAGGTAGGAAGGTGGAGGGAGTGTGCATGCAGGGGGGGGGAACGCCGATTATTTCTGAATACCTAATGAGTAGGCTTTTTATGTGTTTGTTTTTCTAATGAAATGCACCATATTTGTATTATTTGTTCATATGTTTATTTGAAAAAATTAATAAAATTTTTTTTTAAAAAAAGAATGCTACACATTAAGAAGACGTACCTTTTTTTCATGCGTTTCATTATTTTTTTTTTCTTTAGACATCATTGTATTATGTAACATTATTGTGGTGCATCATGCTCCTTCTGGGAGTGTTTGACAGGGTTTAGGAGAGGCTGTATTTTCAATATCTATATCCTCCAATTTTAAAACTATGACCCCCCCTAAGGCTGCTTAAAAAATAAGACTAGAAAATTGATCAAGCAGCATTGGTTAAAACATAATGAGCCAGCTGCCACTCTTAAGGACAGGAGTTCAAAAGATGTAAAGTTAGATTAAGAATTCTGAACAATGTTAACAGGACTACAATTTCTCCAAATATCCTTTTACTGGCCAGTACATATTTCTTGTATCTGTTGTACAAATGAACTGCAAGGTTTTCTTAAACATGCTTTCTCATCACCTTGCAAAAAGTGGCTCCTTCAAAATGTATCGTTATAGGAGAGCTATGTTAATCCATGGTGGTCTAAAATCAGAAGAGTTTGGTAGCATTTTTTTAAGACTTATTAAAACACATTTACCATATGAAAGGCTGAGCACCAAAGAATTGAGGCCTTTTGAACTATGGTGCTGGAGAAGACTCCTGCGAGTCCCCTGGACTGCAAGGCGATCAAACCGGTCAGTCCTAGAGGAGATCAACCCTGACTGCTCTTTAGAAGGCCAGATCCTGAAGTTGAAACTCAAGTACTTTGGCCACCTAATGAGAAGGAAGGACTCACTGGAGAAGAGCCTAAGGCTGGGAAAGACTGAGGGCAATAGAAGGGGACGACAGAGAATGAGGTGGCTGGATGGAGTCACTGAAGCAGTAGGCGTGAGCTTAGATGGACTCCAGAAGATGGTAGAGGACAGGAAGGCCTGGAAGAATGTTGTCCACGGGGTCGCGATGGGTCGGACACGACTTCAAAACACATTTATTCGAACAACAAAACACATTTATTCGAAAGCACTCACTTATGTGAATGGCAGCTCCTACCATCATACATATGATGTAGGATATAAATGCATATAGAAAAGGGAGGGGAATACAGGGCAGCTAACACTTCATGAGCGACAGATTACAAATGCCTTATCAATTAAAAATTATGTGTTGTAAACCTAATGTATTTGTGAGACTTCCTGAGATAATCTGAAAGATGCACACATGCTCAGCTTTCTCCTGTTCAAGTACACCCTAACCCCTAACCCTACCCCATGACCTTTAACCCTACCCCTTGACCTTTGACCCCAGCCATTGACCCTACCTTGACCTTTGACCCACCCCTGACCTTTGACCCGACCCCTTGTGTGGTTGCCTATCCCTGGCCTAGGGGCTGGGGATACTTGTACTAGGACACTGTACAAAGCAGATAAATTTGCTTCCTAAAATTCATTAAATGCTTCGGTCAAAATTTTTTATGTTTGAACTTTCAAGTAGAGTAACACAATGAAAAAAATATATATTAAAAATGGAATGTTCATGATAGGCAACTAAACCATTGAAATCCCGTACTGCATACTTATTAAAATCACAGAAGTGTTATTTTCAGCACTGTCTGCCTGACCTTGCTGCTTTCACTGTAACGAAAGTAGCATGTCAAAATAAGTTCCATTCAAGAATCGCAGGGCATGTACAAAAGGAACATGACTTAAGTTATTGTTCCACTGCGGTTGTCATCCTACCACTCCTTGGAACCTTCTGCACACGCTAGCATTTAAACACTTTAAATAGAGGCATATTTTTAACTTTTGTCTGAACCAATGAGTGAAAGGCTCACATATTTCCAACAATCTGAAAGTCTAGCCCAAATATTGTAAAAAAAAAAGAAGAATTTCAGATGCATGCTACAGCAAGCTATCATAAAATCTTACTGGGAAAGTGCCGTGAGAAGATCATAATGCTTCATGGTGTCTGCCAATGTATCAACAGCTGACTCCAATGTCAGAAGCAGTTCTATGACAAAACCCTGTAAAAAAAAGCAAATCAGTACACAGGCAATTTATTATTAACCAGATATATTTAAAAGCATTACAACTCAAGTATCCATATTAATGTTTTGTTGATAAAATACAACATGCAATATACACAGAACAGGTTAGTAATGATTCCTGGCCCTCATAGCAATCCTGCCTAGCATCCACTTGTTTCCCCTATTTTCCTACAACTGTATGCACTTGGAAAAGCATTCTTACAGATCTTATTCTATCCATCTAATAAGGTAGACGTGGTCCACAAAAATTTATGTGAAAATAAATTGATCAGTTCCGGGGTAACCTAGAGCTGCTTTTAACATTTGGATGGAGAAATCACTGTCTAGAGTGGATGAAGTAACACACATATATAGGTGGGGCCACAGTTCTGGCAGAACTTGCTTTTTAATTGTAATATGCATAAAGTTACAGTACAATTTTCATTCATTCTCGCCTCAAAATGGAAGAAAACCATCCTATTGGTTTTTACCAATCACAAAGAGTTTGTGTCTGTATATCATTTTAGGATCATAGATTATTATCCGACCCTAGTGTGAGAATCTTTTTGATTAGAAAAGACTAGTGATCTATAACTTTTAAAAGTTCAAAATGATTCGTTTTGAATGCCATGCTCTATAACTGCTATAAATAATACAGTATGTCAACGCTGCTAACATCGGATGTTTTTGCATTGACAACAGATGGAAATGTAGCCATTTTTTCCCTTTTGCTTTTAGAGTTAGATGATGCTGGAACGGGGGGGATGTGAATGAGAGTCCAGCTAGACATAACAACACTAAACTTAGCGTGAGAATCAAGGTTATTGAGCCCAGAGCTGATAATTGGCGGGCTGGAGAACTGGAGAGGAAGTCCCCGCTTCAAGCTAATTGGGGAATATGATTTATGACTGTTAATTGGAGGAGGGAATTATGCTTTGATACTATGTGCCCAGGGGAGGGGAATTCACTTTTTGGCTTCGATTATGTAAGTGCCGATATTATGCTACTCGAACAAAAGATCCCTTAAGGTAAACAATGCCTCGAAGTTCTTTTGAAGGGTTTCATCTGTCGGAACCATGACATAATATTCTTCAGGCACAAATCTCCATTTAACATTCAACGAAAGATAGAAATTAAATTATTACTTTGTAATTTTCTTGAAAAAGTGAAATACCTGAGCTTCTTCTCCTGCATCTCCGACAGTTTCTACAAGCCTGGAGAGAATATCAGAAAGTGTGTCTGCGGAAAGAGGCTGTTTCAGTGCTCTGAAAATCTGGAAAGATCTTCCAGCATAGTGTCGAGAAGAGCAAGATAGGGCAGTCTGCAGAGCAACTTCGCTAAGATGCTGCTCAAGCTGAAATCCAACTGCAAGAAACAGTGAACATTAATAGGGTGCAAAATTATAATTATGACACGGCACGCATTTCTTTTAACAAAACTTACAAAAACATGTTGTTTATTTTTATTTCGGAAGAGGAAATCTAAATGAAACACGTTCCTTCCATAAACTGCTAAATTTACAACGTGTACTGATTGTGACAAATTGAAATGTTTTCAAAACATACCTAAGCTTGACTGTTTAAATACAGAAACAACATGCTTGAGAAATACGGTTAACAGCTCGGCACTCTTTATGCTTGGATTCTTGGCTGAAACATCTTCATGATTCCAAAGTGGTCCTCGTTTTCTACAGATAGGAAAAAATAAATAAATAAATATCAAACCAGAAGCTCATTTATCAAAAATAATTCGTTATCTGCAATGAAGTCTTGGATTCCTTGATTATTTGATTTATCAAACCCCTCTTTTAGAAAAGAGGTATAGCTTTTCAGATACAAAACATGTTTCCTTTTATAAACATACAATAACCACATATATTTAGAGTTCTTTGCTAAAAGTTAAATTGTTTACATTATTTTCTAAAATGAACTCTGCCATTAAATTTAACCACAGGATTCAAGAAACCCTAACCCTAACTTCATCCTACGTGGAAGATAGGTTTCAATCCTAAAATTTACCTAGTGGGGCAATGCATTCTTAACAGAACTCTAAAGGTATATATTTTAGGGCTTATCCTAACTTTACTTTGTTTCCAGCAGAAATATTTACCCTTAAAATTCACTAATTCAGGTGCCATTTCCATGGAACCAAAAGCCCAGTAATGCTGAATATTTCACATTATTATGGAATTATGAAATCTTCCTGCAAAAGCTTAGCAGATCACTTAAATATGAGCCAGCAGTGTGCTGCAGCTGCCAAAAAGGCCAACACAGTGCTGGGCTGCATTAACAGTGGGATAGAATCAAGATCACGTGAAGTATTAATACCACTTTACAATGCCTTGGTATGGCCACACTTGGAATACTGCATCCAGTTTTGGTCACCACAATGTAAAAAAGATGTTGAGACTCTAGAAAGAGTACAGAGAAGAGCAACAAAGATGATCAGGGGACTGGAGGCCAAAGCATATAAGGAAAGGCTTCTGGAATTGGGTATGTCTAGTTTAATGAAGAGAAGGACGAGGGGGGACATGATAGAAGTCTTCCAATGTCTCGGGGGTTGCCACAAAGAAGAGGGAGTCAAGCTATTCTCCAAGGCGCCTGAAGGCAGGACAAGAAGCAACGGATGGAAACTAATCAAGGAGAGAAGCAACCTAGAACTAAGGAGAAACTTCCTGATAGTGAGAACAATTAACCAGTGGAACAACCTGCCTTCAGAGGTTGTGGATGCTCCAACACTGGAAGTTTTTAAGAAGAGACTGGACAGCCATTTGTCCGAAGTGGTATAGGGTTTCCTGCCTGAGCAGGGGGTTGGACTAGATGACCTCCAAGGTCCCTTCCAACTTTATTATTATTATTATTATTATTGAAAATATAAGCATTTTTATACAGCTGAGTAAAAGCCCTCATTTAAGTGTTACCTTGAAGTAATAAACTCCATAAGTGACTTCATTTTTTCATCTTGTTCTCCTGAAAGGTTGACTTCATTGAGAATGGTGCTTTGCATCTGGGAAATGGCAGCGCTGGTATTTCCTAAACTGATGCTAGAAGAGGTAGAGCTTGAACTGAGTCCTGAGTCTGTCATTGGAGAGGGCTGGTGGTCTGGTATAAAATCATTAACACCTAATTACAGAAAGACATAATAATTACCATTCTTAAAATCTTCACAGCGACTTTCCAAAAAAATCCCAGAAGATATTCTGATTTCTTTGTACTTCATTATTTTAGTCCAGGAATCTGCACGTGTCTTTTTGCTCTGACTGGGAAGGACAGGAGGGAGGAGCCAGTGATGTCATGATATTAATGAAGGGGACTCATTTCATCATTTTCTTTTCAAATCATCCATATTTAATACAGTTTGGGGGGGAGTCACTACTCAGAAATAGTTCATATTAATGGAAAGGTTGGAAACTGTAATCCTAAACCAGTGTTTCTCAACCTTGACAATTTTAAGGCATGTGGACTTCAACTCCCAGAATTCCACAGCCAGCAATGCTGGCTGTGGAATTCTGGGAGTTGAAGTCCACATGCCTTAAAATTGTCAAGGTTGAGAAACACTGTCCTAAACAATGACAAAACAAATTGTAACGACAGGGAGCCTTGTTCTCTTCAGAGATGTGAAAAAGGCTACCTCATAATTAGAATTTAGCAAACGCCCCCCATTCCAGATTATTCAATTGATTTATCCTCTGAGATATACAAAAAGCAGAAACTTTTTCGTAACAATAGTAATGATGGAATCCTGGTGGATTAAACTTCAGAGCCATTGCACCCTCTTCAATGATTTCTTACCAAAAACAGCATATGTAGAAGAGTATTAACCACAACAGTTTCTGCCTTTGTTTTGAGCATGTGTGCGCTCAGTGCACTTTGCATTTAATAAATTGCTTGAAAAAGAGAGCCTACTGTCAGGAGCATACAGGCATTAAGTCTTAATTTCTCGTATTAAAGAATTTAAAAACAGCAGTACATTTATCTATCAAGCAAGCAGGGTTGTTGTTTTTTTTTGTAAGCTCAAAGCAGTTTCCCAAACTCATAATCTGTTATGTTCTGAATGTCAATCTGGTCTCAATGCACATTTTCACCAGGAATTGGTCCACGTTAAGAAAACTGCTATTTCAAAACTTTGAATATTTTACATTTGGAGAGTTTTGTACATCCCCACAACACCCCATTCTAGGGAAGAAGCCCAATCCGGTTCTCTGTTGTACAGCTATCCTAAATAAGTGTCTTTGCAAAATAGAAAGTGGTTAAGATCAGTCTTATTTAATACACATGGATAATATAACAAATGAACATGCATGATTAATAATTCTACATAGTTATATTTAATAGTGAGGTGCTGCCACCTGCTGAAAAATATTAAAGTGCCATGCACCAAACAAGAATTGAAAAATGAAACAATGAAGAAATTTCTATCTGAACAATGTCTGAGCCCACTGCATCCCTTCCTATATTCATTACACAGAGACAATTATAATCAAAGTTTGCAATACTATTTATTAAAAACTGAATTCATGACTATAAATAAAATATTTTAAAAAACTGTCTGGAGGAAATATCCTATACTGGAACTAGGAATTAAGAATTCTTCAAACCATTCTATTACCAGACTGTGGCAAGTTTTTGAAACAGAAAAGCCTGCAATATAGCATTAGTGTACTCTTCAAAAGTAAGTTAAATATATTATTAATTCATCTTCATAGATCTTTACATCCTGATCTAAATAACAAATTAATGTTTAGAAAATTTCTAGATAATCAACTTAATGATTATTATATACAGTATATATTTCAGTACACGTCTTAAGTTGTTAGATCTGAGAGGCCTGTTACCCTTGATGAATTTTGTTATAAAAATGTTAAAACAGGTATTGATTAATGTAGCTTTATTAATTACCTATTCAAGAGACAGAATTTCTACCCTATTGCTGTGAGAGCTTTTACAGGTAGTCCTCGACTTACGATGATAACTGCGACTAGGATATCTGTTGTAAATCATTGCAGCCATAATTTGAGATCGTATGACAGAATCTGATTTTACTGTGGTCTTAAGTTGAACCACGCAGTTGTTAAATGCGAATCCAGGTTAGCCAATGGCACCTTTTGCTGGAAAATTGACAAAATTGCTGGAAACATCGCAAATTGTGTTCATTTAATGACCACAGGATGCTGAAATTGGCTGTTAATGTAAGCCGGCTGCCAAGCACCCAAACTGCAATCGCATGACTGCTGGGGTAGGGTAACAGTGGTAAAGTTTGAAGTTTGGATGTAATTGACTTTTTTTAAAAAGATCACTGTTAATTGAAACCACTGTTAAGTAGTAAGCTGAGGACTACCTGTAGTTTTATTTTCATTATGAATACAGTGCATTTTAAGTCTTGTTGAACTGCCCCCCCCCATTAGCATGTGTATTAATTAGAAACCCGGAAAGTACCTGTGAAGATGCAATCCAAATGTGCTATTTGTTTGATCGTGAGCACCCGGGGTTCATTAAACTCCTTGTTCCTGAGAAGGATAGAAGCCACAGACTGGACACTACTGTGAGAGCCCATCACTATCAGTAAATGCAACAGGAGGCGTTTACAGTGTTCATATACTTCCGGATGGTGATGATCAAGACCTACATTCAAGGGGAAAAAAATGCATATAGTCAAATTGATGTGCTTGTATGTTACTGTTGCTGAGGAGTTAAACGTTCATTTAAAAGGAACATGCCTAGTCCTACTCATTATTTATTGTTGACATGCACTCAAGAGTCAAGGCCATGGTTTTCCCAGTTGCAATGTATGGCTGTGAAAGTTGGACCATAAGAAAGTCTGAGCGCCAAAGAATTGAGGCCTTTGAACTATGGTGCTGGAGAAGGCTCCTGCGAGTCCCCTGGATTGCAAGGCGATCCAACCGGCCAGTCCTAGAGGAGATCCATCCTGACTGCTCTTTAGAAGGCCAGATCCTGAAGCTGAAACTGAAGTACTTTGGCCACCTAATGAGAAGGAAGGATTCACTGGAGAAGAGCCTAATGCTGGGAAAGATGGAGGGCAATAGAAGAAGGGGACGACAGAGAATGAGGTGGCTGGATGGAGTCACTGAAGAAGGAGGCGTGAGCTTCAATGGACTCCAGAAGATGGTAGAGGACAGGAAGGCCTGGAGGAACGTTGTCCATGGGGTCGCAATGGGTCGGACATGACTTCGCAACTAACAACAACAACAAATATACTCAAGAGATAAGAATTCTTACATAATTATTTTTCATTGCTTGCCATGCTATATTTATTTTTATCAAACATAAAAACAATTGTTCTTCCTGAGAGTTCAGTTTTTTAGACCATTGCTATGCTCATTGAAAATTTTGGTATCACTTGTTCTTCAAAAGTTGGGTTTATTTTACACTAACCATCACTTTGGCTTAAATGTGCAAGGCCATAAAACAATGTGGTGATTAGCAATGCTTCCCAATTTTAACAAAAACTAACTTACCTATAAAAATGGCATGAAGCAAGAGATGCAAGTAATTTCCCCAATCTACCTTTACGCTATGGTCAATTATTAGGTCGGTCAACAGAATCACTGCTATGTTACACCTATAAACCAAAGAAATATCAGTTGAGTTAATGGGGGTCAGCGGAATTGATTACTATAACATATAATTTAAACATCAGTATCGTAGTGACATAATTATTTACACTAGAATTGCTACTACTAAAAGCAAATTTGGTTGACAATAATATTAAAGATTTTAAGTATTTAAGTTATATATTATGGTAGCTATGACAGTAATCTGTTTCTCTCTTAGGAAATAATAAATAAATGGATTGGTGGATGGATGGATGGATAATAAAATAAATATTAGCTGTCCCAATAAAGAAATATAGATGCTTAATGTCAACCATAGCTCAGAACATAAAGAAATATAAAGCAAGGCTTAAACAGCTAGTCTCAAGTTACGATCCTAATTGGGACTGTAATTTCCATCACTAAGTGAAGTGATCGTTAAATGCAACACCACACGATTTCACTGCCTAGTGAGAGCAGTCCTGGTTCCAGTCGTTAGGCGAGGACTCATACTTCTGATGATGCTGATGTTATCCATTCAGTCGAGCCCAACTCTTGGTGACTTCCATGGTTGAGGTATCTCCACTTCTTCTGATCTTGCACTCTTTGAGTTTGTCTATGCTCTTGGCTGGCGTCATCTCTGATGGTGCCCAGTCACCATGTTCTTTGATAGCCTGGTTTCTTTTTACTGCTAATTCTTCCAAGTATGACTGCTTTCTCCAGTGAATTCCCCCGCACGACACAGCCAAAGTAAGTATGACGCAATTTTGTGATTTTGCCTTCTAGTGACATATCTAGTGTTATACACTCCCATTCCTACTTTGCGGTCCAAGAAATACGTCTCCTACTCTCTGCAAATTGCCTCCACTTCAACTCTCCCCCCCCCACCCCGCCCAATCTCTACCCTTTGGGCTGCCTTGCATATCATGGCTGAGATGAAGAGGCCACCGTATGAAGGCAATAAGCAGGGGAAATCATTAATTCATATCTAAAGGTACAGGAGGCACAACATTCAATGTTTATACGGCCTAGGTCAGCTAATAAAAGGCCAGAAAAACAAATAAGCCTCTTGTGGAAAGATTCTTCCTATACAGTGGAAGTGTGATGACCCAGGGCACAGCACAGAGGCAATGCAGTCAGCTGGCAAGTCAAACAGTTCTTTTATTGCTCCAACTTTTCCCCAAAAGCTCCCACATTTGCTGGCAAGCCTCCAACAAAAGAACACACACACACACCCCTTCAGCCGACTCTGGCTGAAAGCAGGTTCAAATACAGTCTGATTAGCATAAGAAAGTACTCAAGGCCATAGAGACAACAAGGAAGAAAACATAAACTTAACGAGTCTGTTTGAATCCTAGCTTGCCTGAGCAGTTTTCAAAAGAGAGAATCCGAAATACAGTCCGAGGTCTTTAAACATTCAAGTAACGTGGTCAGTCAATCCAATAGTCCGAGTTTCCATGTTTCCAAACAGAAGTCTCAGAACAAGAGATCAGCAACAATACACAACACTCCGAGAATCAGCGTTTGTTCCCGACAAATGCCTCTCCCCACAGCATCTCCTTAAATCTCAATCTCCAGGTGTTCCTTGTGGAGAGGGGTGGGATGCTCTCCTCCCGAGTAATTGAACCTGCCTGCGTTGTTCCCTCCTTCTCTCCACTCTCTGATCAGATGGGGGTGGCCCTTGCCCTCCTGTTCCTCCTTTTCCAATCCTGAAGGGCCCTGGCCTGCCTCGGCCTGCTCTTCCCCACATTCCTCTGAAGCCACAGACACCTCTCCCTCAGCCTCCATAGGGTCCCGTTCCAGTTCATTTTCCTCCGCAGATACAGGCTCAGACGGAGGCATGGCAAGAAGTTACCAAACCAATTAAAAGTAAAAAAATAAAAAAATAAGGCTCATGTCTTGAAAGATAAAACTGTGAAGGTCCCATTCTCAAAACACAAGGATAATCTGGAAGCAGGATGAGTCGTTTCCCCACAAATCTTATATGTTTCTTGGAAGGAAGACACCACAAAGTACCGTGCTACGATGTCTTTTAGGTACTTCCTGTTCAGAGGGATTTGGGAGGGTCTTATTTATATTGCTTACCTGTGGAGAGACATGCCTGGAGATGATGTTTCAGGCAAATAATCCACCAAGGGTGACCAACAACCCCCTGAAGGTGGGAAAGGTAACGGCTCTCCTTCGTTGTGTTCCATCACTTTCAGTCTCCAGCTTGAATACAGCGGCATCGAATCGCCTGTCAAAAAGTATCATGATCTTGAATCAGATATTTCAACTGCATAGAGTTATACTAATTGAAATATGTTATTTTTAAATATGTATGCTGCGTTTTCTGTATTTCCCATATTTGGTAACACTGTCTTGTATTCCAAAATTTTGGACGTATTCAGGATTCATTACATTAAAAACATTATTTACACCCAGGTAGTTCTTGACTTACGGCCACAATTGAGCCCAAAATTTCTGCTGCTAAGCGAGACATTTGTTAAGTGAATTTTTGCCCCATTTTATAACTTTTCTTGCCAAAGTTGCTAAGTGAATCACTGCAACTGATAAGGTAGTGACACGGTTGTGAAGTGAATCTGGCCTCCCCATTGAATTTGCTTGTCAGAAAGTCATAGGATCCCAGGACACTGCAACCGTCATAAATATGAGTCAGTTGCCAAGAATTTGAATTCTGACCACGTGACCATGGGGATGTTGCAATGGTCGTAAGTGTGAAAATGGTCATAAGTCACTTCTTCAGTACTGTGTCATTGTAACTTGGAACGGTCGCTAAACACACTTTTGTAAGTTGAGGATTACCTGTATTCCTAAAAGCAACAGGCATTAAAGTCCAGTGCAGGGGTAGGCAACCTTGGCTCTTTTATGACTTGTGGACTTCAACTCCCAGAATTCCTGAGCCAGCATGGCTCAGCTTGGAAACCTCTCCCTTTTCCCTCAACGTGGCTGGCTCAAGAATTCTGGGAGTTGAAGTCCACGAGTCATAAAAGAGCCAAGGTTGCCTACCCCTGGTCTAGTGCAAGACTGAGTTGAATAAAGAGAAAAAACTATAACGATCAGTTCTGAAAATCATGTAAAAACATGTGGATGTGATCGCTACATCCTCTGTGCCTCTCTTAGATTAAGGGTAGCTCAAATTGTCAAACTATCACAGAAGAAAGTTACTTTAAATATGTTATTTATGGTATGCACATATGCCATGTAATATGGTATATAATTACACTATTCTTTGCCAAGTAACGTAATAGTGTCCCCAATGTACAGTACAAAGAAAAATGAAACAATTAAGCAAATGGGCTTCAGCTGAATGGACATAACTTTCATTGCCACAACAAAGAAAGATAATAGATTTTTTCCACAAAAATTTTGTCCACGTAACTGACAGTTAAACCTTGCATTGTTGAAAGAAAATAAAAGATTGAATTACTTTTTTCCTCTTCGTATGAGCCTCCTGAACTGCTGCTGTATCGAGATTCTAGCCTATGATGCTGGCGGTTCAGATTACTGTTCAATCCACTATAGATGTCCAGGTGGATGTAACTAAAAGCAATAAACAGAGTGTTAGGAAAGACCACGTTTCTATCCATCCATGTAGCTGTATGTTTATCCAATCGAACATGCCATTTAAAAATTAGTTACACGCCCTTTACTTCATAAAAACCATTCATCTTAAACCACAAATAAATATACTATGAGAACACAAGCGTGCTAGGAGTCAGAATTGAAGAATCCTGAACATGCTAGGAGTCAGAATTGCCTTCTGTGGTCCTTCCTGTTCAGAACAGACCTGAAAATAACAGGAACCCAGAGTCTAAAAGAGTCTAAAAGAGTGGGAGACTAGTAATGTACTATCAAATCACATGTAAACCCCTAAGATAGAATCTCTAATTGCTGACTTGGAGGACAATTCAGCTGAAGTACATTTAATATTTATAAAACCAATGATACGAGCAAGAAAATTCAGATATATAAATCCAGCCATTGCTGGTCCATGGACCGGGGGTTGGGGACCCCTGTCTTAAAAAGACAAGTCTCAGATTTTCTATCCTTAGAACAGAGGGTACAAAAAGTGACAAAAAGCCACTTTGACAAGCTGACATTCACAATAAAAGTACATGCAGAGTCATTATCAGCAACTATAACATGTTGTCACCAACATTTAATCCAATATCAGTTTAGGCTTTATTAATTAGACCTATGAAGGTTTTATTTAAGAAAACAACCAGTATTTCAAATAAATCCTTCTTACCTTTCATCAATAGTATCTTTTGTAAGCTTATTGTTGTGATTACCATCTGTGGGTGCCACCATTGTATTGCTACTGGAAGTAGTTCCTGGAAATTAAGGAGGGGTATATTTGGAATGAGTGCAGTAATAACAGCAAAACAGAATTTCTGAAATCATAATTACCATCACCACTATTCTCAACAGAACAATAATCCCCCCAGAGTAATTTAGAGATATTATACATAATTCTAAATAAAAGGACAATGAATAAAAAAGATGTAAAATAATTTCACAAGGCAGTGTGTAACGGCTGGGGAGAACAAGTGAGGCTTCTACTTGGGGTTCATTTTGAATTAAAAGTATATTTTGATTTCAAAGGTTGGCAACTGACACAGATCAAAAGGCTTTCACTTCTTTCTTTCTTTCTTTCTTTCTTTCTTTCTTTCTTTCTTTCTCTTTTCCTCCTTCCTTCCTTCCTCTATATATATGCAGTAAAGCTATTTACAACGTAATTCAGTTGTCAGAAATACTTCTAAATCTTTCTCTTAAGAGTCTATACCCCTCCAGCTCTCCTATTAACTGCTTTACTTCCTCTCCCTTCACTGCACTCCATCCACTTTCTGGGATTATCAAGAGAGTAAAAATAAAAGAATATGCCGGATTACTGCTTACATGTTTTGCCTGGATTTGCTCAACCTATCACTTTCTCCTGTGTTAAGGGAAGACCCTTTCTTAGGGTCTCCTGCCAAGTCCTCCCAGAGACCAGGACTTGACAACTGATTCCTTCCCCCTTCATGTCTTGGGTGAAGAAGTTGTCTCTTTGGGATTTCAGTTCCCTTCCTCCAGGGAAACCAGCTGTAGACTTTTCTCCCTCTCTCACCAGGAATCAACACCTGCTCTTCACACTCCTGTAACTTTACTCTCCAGCCACTCTTTTTCTGTCTTCTTCTCTCTCTCTCCCCCCAATTTTGGTTAGATTGGCAGCATGCCCCCCAGAACTGAGAAGGTGGGTTGCTCCCCTCATGGCTCCCAACAACTACTGTATATATCAGGCTGGACCAATGTGACTATTATGTCTACATCTCCTTATAACCGCTCTGGCTAGCAGCCAGGTCAGTTCATCATCAGCCCTCCTGACAGCACAACTGTCCTTCAAAGTCACAATTGAAACTCTTCCCTTCTCTCTGCCTTTGCTGTCTCACACCAACAAAACAGCAGTCATGCCAGGCTACTAAAAACCACGTGCCAAACATATATATAAGATACAGAAGAAAAAATATAGTCTCAAGAGTCAAACAGCCCTGCAATTAGTCCCAAGTATTCCATGGCAAATCTAGGCAGCATACTAAAAAGCAGAGACATCACCCTGCCAACAAAAGTATATATAGTCAAGGCCATGGTTTTCCCGGTTGCAATGTATGGCTGTGAAAGCTGGACCATAAGAAAGGCTTTGAGATCACTGAAGCAGTAGGCGTGAGCTTAAATGGACTCCAGAAGATGGCAGAAGACAGGAAAGCCTGGAGGAACGTTGTCCATGGGGTCGCGATGGGTCGGACACGACTTCGCAACTAACAACAACTTTCCAATAAAACTTTATTTTTCTTACATCGTCTCATTGGCTGTTCTATGTAAAGCATGCTGCAGGAAGAAAGCCTTGCTATGGCCAGCATGAGGAGATCTCTTCAAACTTTCGAGTACAAACCAGTAGAATTATATACCGCTTCCTTTTTTTTTCAACCACAGAGGTTGCTAAACGTATTTGCAGCCAAGGGAATGGAACAGCTCAACGGGCAGAGGGCAAAATGTCTAAATTTGAGGAGCAGGCCCACAAAAAAGCACTGCTTCTTTACCAAAGTCTTTACCAAAGTGCTGTTGCCAGTTGCATCCAAGCCTGCTCTGAAGCATTCATTCTGTTTTGCATCCAAACAGCGGTGTATCCCGGGATGTTACCCAACAGTGAAGTAAATATCTGTCCTGACAGGTTAAAAAAAAGTTTGATGTTAAGCGTCTCACCTGAAGTAACAGAAGGGATTTTGTAACTAGAAGTGATACGGTAATATGGTGGATTGTCCATATGGGTCACTCCAGAACTAACGGGATCAGTCAGCTGCAATTCGCTTACCAGCTCTTCCAAAAGCTGCATAGTTTTATCTCGACCCAAGTAAACAATTACCTTCTTCACCTGCCATTCAAAGAGAAAATAAGATCATTAACAACACTATTAAGAACATATTATCTTCCTGGGCTCCAAGATCACCGCAGATGGGGACTGCCGCCAAGAAATTGAAAGACGCTTGCTCCTGGGGAGGAAAGCTATGGCAAATCTAGACAGCATACTAAAAAGCAGAGACATCACCCTGCCAACAAAAGTACGTATAGTCGAGGCCATGGTTTTCCCAGTTGCAATGTATGGCTGTGAAAGTTGGACCATAAGAAAGGCTGAGCGACAAAGAATGGAGGCCTTTGAACTATGGTGCTGGAGAAGACTCCTGCGAGTCCCCTGGACTGCAAGGCAATCAAACCGGTCAGTCCTAGAGGAGATCCACCCTGACTGCTCTTTAGAAGGCCANAGTACTTTGGCCACCTAATGAGAAGGAAGGACTCACTGGAGAAGAGCCTAATGCTGGGAAAGATGGAGGGCAATAGAAGAAGGGGACGACAGAGAATGAGGTGGCTGGATGGAGTCACTGAAGCAGTAGGCGTGAGCTTAAATGGACTCCAGAAGATGGTAGAGGACAGGAAGGCCTGGAGGAACGTTGTCCATGGGGTTGCGATGGGTTGGACACGACTTCGCAACTAACAACAATAACATTAAGAACACTATTAAATATACTAAAAAAGTAGCTTGTATTTAATTTTTTAAAAAACTGTAAATTTAGATAATTGAATTTTTCATTGGCAGACAAATTAACAAACCAGTTCTTAAACTGTCTTATAACTAATAACTAACTTATAATTGTCTTTTGACTTACAACTAAAGAGATTGGGCAACCGTTTGTCTGAAATGATATAGGATCTCCTGCTCTATGACTAGACAATCTCCAAGGCCCTCTCCAATTCTATGATTCCATGTTCTGTGTTAACTACTAACGGTCAAAGCGACTTGGTGGTAGATAAGAGTCAACGGAATTCAAGCTGGGCTGGACTTAGCCTTTGGACTCTTATTATTCTATGTTCTAATCAGGTTTCATTATTTTTGAAGCTGCATCTGGTAGAAAAGCGAAACCAAGATATCCTAAATAAATCCGTGGTATATTTAAATATTTAATATTTCACCATCTGAAATGTTTGATCAAATAGAACTCTGTTAATAGATTTTTTTCCATAAAAGTAAATTAACTGTATATTTTTTTTAGAAAAGTTTAGTACTTAAGCTCCTGCTGAAAATAATATGTTTATTAACTCAGTATAATCTGTATTTAACAGAGTAACTGAAGTAAAGCTTTGCATTTCAGCTTAAAAGTACCACGGCAGTTCCTAAATATTTCCCGACATGGTATTACTTTTGTTTAGAAATTCTTACAATGTTTGTATCCTATTTTAGACGTGTTTATTTTTCCAACAAACGTTCCAACTGCTATGTAAAGTCATAGGGTTAACATAAAAGGAATTGGCCCAGGAGCTGGAATTTTATTCCATATATTATCTGCTTGTCCCCAATTCTTTCTCCCTTTCTCTCTCTCCTTTTTATACACAACTCAAGGTGGCAAAAATAGCTTTTCCCTTTTACTTCCTATTTTCCCCATAATAACTCTTGTGAGGCGAGTTGGCTGAGAGACAGGGACTGGCCTAATTGCTCAGTCAATAGTCCCAAGTCCTGTAACCTATTTTTCACCAGATGTCCAGAAATTCAAATATCTAGTGTGGTCTTTATTGACCCAGGCAATGACTGCAATTGGGTTTCTGTATTTATGTCTCATAAATGTTTCTTCTTAAACTGGAAGTTTTTAAGAAGAGACTGGACAACCATTTGTCTGAAATGGTATAGAGTTTCCTGCCTGAGCAGGGGGTTGTACTAGATGACCTCCAAGGTCCCTTCCAACTTTATTATTATTACTAGCTGTACCCGGCCACACGTTGCTGTGGCTCAGTCTGGTTAAATGGAAAAGAAGTGTGTTGCTTTTACGTCCAACAGATGGTGCTGTTTTTCAAAAAGGGCATGTTTTTACCTGTCACAGGTGTGACATCTATATAATAGTAGGTATATAAAAACACGCGCGTATTCGAATGCAACGTTGTGTCAAATTTTCAAAGCAATCGGTGAAGAACTTTCGGAGATTTAAGATTTTGAACAAATGAACATTTACATTTTTATTTATATAGATTATGTTTCCCTTTTATGGGAGAGACATCCTTTGTCTGACTCCTCTGATGTGACCTGTCCAGCATGGTTGAATTTTTGGCATAACTCTCCTCTTCCTCAGAGTACACAAGCCCCAGAACCACGTCAAAGTAATGCTTCACTGGGAGGTAATTATTATAATAACTATTTATAATTATTATAAATAATTATTTAATTATAATAAATGGATTGTTTCTATTTTCATTCTGAGTCTGCTTTGAGCGCAGACCACAAGAACATGGTCAGACTAAAAGTGATTCTTAAACAAAACATCTGTGCTTCTTAACAGGTGGACCTTGAGTTATAACCAGTCACTTAGTGACTGTTTGAAGTATGAAAAAGGGGACTTATGGACCCAGATCAAAGTTCTGAAGATCAGGCCCTCACGTCAGCAGAAAAAAATATATAAAATTGGGTTGGTCTATTTTACAACCGTTACAACTTATGACCTAATGGGCAGGCTCCATTATAGTCATAAGTCCAGGGCTACCTGCATTCAATATATATGATTGCCTATCTCACCAGTGCAAGGAATAGGAAAATAAGTTCCATGTAACTTACGTAAGGCAAAAGGCTGGGTTCACTATTTACTCCGCAAATGCTGATTAAAAAATGAAGAATTATTTTCAGATTCTTCGGCCAACTGTCCGCTAGAGTAATCCAGACATTTTCAATCTCTGACCAAGCCACTTCATCGCCGTACTAGAAAACAAAGTTAAGGTGTGAATTATTTCTCTTATTTAAAAAGTAAATGCTCAAGAGATATATAATGAAACCGCTGGGCATAAGTTAATGTATTTTACGCGGGAAGGTAGTTCCATAAAGCTCAATGCATTTTTCTCTCTAGTTTGCTTCAAAAAAAAACAAGTCGACTCTGGCTGCAATGTTGCTTTTTCCGTGTTTAGTGCAGCTTAAATATACTGGCTTTTCTTTTCGGTCTTTCTGGTCTCAAAAAATACAGTTTACTGGCATTAGCGTTCCGCTAGTGACCAAAATTGAGGAAACAACAAAACTCTCAAAAATAATCCATCAATTGCCCTCTGCTTCGTTCAATTTACCTTTGCTGTCATATACATTAGGTTGTTTAAAACCAAAGCAGTTGCCTGGGGCGACCCCCAACCTTCGCCTCTCAACCAGCGCCTGCTGTTCACCATCAATTCTCTGTCTTTTAGGAGATCCTCTTCATCCTCATCTTGCCGTCGGATCGTGGGTAAAGGTTTCACATCCATTAATTCAATATTGTTCATCCATGGCAGCAAATAGTGGAGCATCACCTGCCTTCCAGAAGGATGTGCCGTTTGAATTCTCTGGCTTACCTCTGTGTTTAAATAATTTAAAGGTAAGAAAAGATACACATATTATTCTGACCTTGATTTAAAACGTTCCATAAATCAAATCAGATAGACACTCCAAGAAATGATTTCATAACAAGAAATATATTTATAATCAGATAGGTTCCTTGCCTTTATGACGAATGCCTCTGATATTACATCTCCTGTTCATTTCTATCGGTAAAAAGATGAAGCTCTCCCTTCATACCATCTTTATAGTAGTACAGGCTCATCGGGTGACATCTGATGGGCCATGCTTCTCTCAGACAAAGACATTCCAAACTGGCTTGTGTCCAAGAAGTCTCCCAATGCCCTTTTGAAACTCCTCCCCCTGACCTATTACTAACATACTGACACATGCTCTCTAGTTAGAGTTACATAGAGCTATACAAGGTTACATGGATCTATATGGTCCAGCATACATACGTTATTACAAAGCTAATTTATTGGCAGCCATTTCAGCTTTTGGTCTTCCTGAAATAACTATTGCTTCCATGTGAAAAGAAGGCCAGGTTGCGGAAAGAAAGTAGGATCTTCCGTTACAGGGTAAAAAGGCTAGTAGGAGGAGGTAGAACAGTGGTGGCGAACCTATGGCACGGGTGCCAGAGGCGGCACTCAGAGCCCTCTCTGTGGGCACATGCGCTGTCGCCCCAGTTCTAGGCCTTCAGCTGGGTTTTATAAAACCTTTTCGCTTTAGGCCTCTGCCGCCATGTGCAAAAAAAAAAAAAAAGGTTCAATCAGTCAATTTCAACTTCTCACGGGGGAAAAAAAAGATCTTGCAAAGTTGGAATTGATTGATTGAACTTTTTAGTCCCACCCAGTCTGCCGTTACCACCATAGCCACGCCCACCCAATGGGCCACACCCACCCAATGGGCCACACTCAGCCAATGGGCCACACCCACCCAGCACCTGACGATGCATAAGTGGATTTTGGGTCGCAGTTTGGGCACTCAGTCTCTAAAAGGTTCGCCATCACTGAGGTAGAAGGATGGACATTCATACAAATTCTGATATTCAAAATTTTGTGGCTGACCAAGAGTTAAATGGGAGACTAGTATAGCTATTTCAAGCTCTTTAGCTCTCATCAGCTAGTCTTACCCTTCTGGGATTCGAACCTGCATGTTAGGCAGCTGTATTAGCCTTTAGGCCACAGGCTCCTCCTCACTCTTGTCAGTAGAGGCCAGGGAGGATATATAACTATGTGTTGGGTGGAACAACCGGTTGCCTGCAAAAGATGCTCTTAGACTGGAGTGAAACGCAGAACAGAGTGCTTTACATTTGGTAGACCGGGTGTTCCACCCAACACATAGTTAAATTCTGATATCCATATATTTTGGATTGGAAAGTCAGTCTACAGCTTGATACCATCCCCCCCAACACCACTAATGTCTACTGAAAATGGTCCCAGAGAAAAGAGAACGACCGCAACACTGTGCCTCTCACTTCCCAATTAATTCCCTGAACAAAGCTAGGAGGGTACCATGGCTGATGGGAGTCAAAAGCCACTAAGAGATCAAGAAGAACCAGAATGGATGCACAAAAATGATCAGTGTTGTCTCAGTGCTATAAGCACGTTTGAATCCATACTGAAAGGACTCCAGATAACCATGCACAGAGAGGAATAACCATATATTAATTGCTTTAGAACAAGGCAATATTATTAAATTGAAGGTTGGTTAGGATAATGCTTTGTTCTCGGCTTGACAAGTGTAGCTTCACATTAAAATAAAAAGGCAAACTATAATTAATTGCTGAATGGCGGGCTAAGACAGGAACAATAAGGCGATGCATATCTCTACAGTGCTTATTCGTATAATGGATTATGATGATTAAAGAACATAATAATTAGAGATTATGGACCAACACCATACTTCTTAATGGTAAGAGTAATAGATAGCACATAGGCCAGTGTTAAGAGGGGAAAAAAATAGTTTTGATAGTTCAATAATTCTGAACAACAGGCGTTTTATCAGATAACCGCCCGGCCGCCCTCTTCAGGGTGACCCGCTCTCTCCTTCAATTGAGGGGAGGCGGGGACCCCCTGGAGGGGAGGGCCGAGGATTTTGCGCAGTATCTGCATGACAAAGTCGCTCGGATCCGGGAAGGCTTGGACTCCGACTGGTTGGCCCAGGGGGAGGAGACGGGACCAGGTCTTGAGACGGTTGTA